AAAAGGAGGGGCAGGGGGGGGGGGACCCAACAATCACATTTTGGTGCAGAGGGGCAAGAGGGCGTTTGGTTTCGGAGGTTACCCAGGTTCCTGAGGGCTTCGGTGCAGGAGGAGTCGTTCCTCAGCGCCTCTTTGAAGAACTCGGCCGCCTTGGCGTAGTCCTGCTTGACGAACTCGGTGTTGCCTTTGCACACGAAGGCTCCCGGGTTATAACGGTCGGCGTTCATGGCCAGGTCGGCGTAGTGCTCGGCCTGCTTGTAATCCTTCTCCTGGAACCGCGAGCAACAGGAACAGGAACGACAGATACCAAAAGCGAAACGTTGCAGAATCTTTTAGAGAACCATCACAAGTGCAAGTTTAGTGTCAAACTAAACAGACGACGACAATGAATGAATTGAAATGTATTGAAATGCATTGAAAAAAAATGTCATACCAGGATGAAAAGGCTGGAGAGGTTGTTGGCTGCGGCGCTTTTGACTCTGCTGTCCTGCTTGGAAACTTCCTTCAGGATTTTCATGGCCTGCAACAAAAACTCCACATCAGGTTACTTCACGCTTATCAATGACGTGCCTTTAAATTGTGTCTGACCTGGTCAAAGTGCATCTGTCTGAAGAAGGTCATGGCCTTTTTCAATTGCAGGTCGTTGGCTAGCTCCACATATGGAGAGTTCTTCACCAAGTCCACGCACCTGCCGCACGAAAAGACCGGAAAATAGAAAGCCAACACAAAAATGTCCAAGAAAAAAAAGGCAGAAAAACACCAGGCTGACAAATATCAGAAAAACAAACAAACCAGTCAAATCCGGCGGCAAAAGAAGCCTGGATGGCGGGAGCGATGAGCTTGGCGGAGGTCATCACGTACTTCTCGGCGCGCGCTTTCCTGTGGGAGGGATGGAAACTATTCAGACAAGCGGATTTATTCTCTGCATTTCAACGCGTGGCGGGGAAATGAACGTCATGTGTCGGAATGCACAATTGCCATGTTACAAGTCTCTCTCCATTTGGTGCAGCTTGTCGTTCTTGATGACCTCCATCAACATGTTGGATCTGATGTCATCCTGAAACACATCACAGTGTTTATACACTGTGGGTTTTTTTTCCGATTTGAGTCATATTTGGTTCGTTCGTCTTTGTGAAATAATTATACAGTACTTGGTCCAAGTGTTGCGCTCACGTTAGCGGTGATGTACTTGTCTTCGTGATGCACGTGGAGAGGCACGGCGAGGAGCTTGTGGAAGGCGTTCTTCATGCCGTCGGTGTCGCGGGGGGCGGAGGAGGCGTGCCGATGTTCTGCATGATCTTGATCCTCATCTCCTTGTATTCGTCGGAGATGTGGTCCAGCGCCATGCGGTACAACTTGATGGCCTTGGCGTAGTTCTTCTGCTTGACCCAGATGTTGGCCATGTTCACCTTCAGACGCCCTGAAGGCGCACGGCAGCGGCAAAGCAATTTCAAGAATGAGTGGACTTTGCAGCCTCTTACTGGCAAGAAAGTGGAAAGATTGAATGGAGCACAGACCACGCTAAACTCGGAGTTACAGACACGAGTGTCACAAAATTGAACTTTTTGCCTCCAAAGCCACTTTTTGAGTTAGAAACATGACATTTGGTCGCCATCGCTATCATGAGAAGGCCTTTAAAAAGTCTTGACAAGCCATGCCTGAAAAGTCATCCAAAACCCGCCATTTAGATTTTTTTTTAGGCTGAAATTTTAATAATTTAAAAATAAATGTCAGCCCCGAGGCCAATTTCACTGAGTAACATGAAATTTGTTGGCTATGTCTGCCATGACCAAACCCAAAAATAAGTCACTCCTGTCTTTTCACTTTGAAGCAGACATTTTACATGTTCATGTTTGAAAATTCAGCCCCAGAAACCAGTATCACTTAACGACATGAAATTCCAGAGCCCCATCGATCATTGGGATACCCACAAAAACGTATCAAGAAGCTCTGGCTTGATTGACAGCAGGTTTCGGCTCACCTGCGTTGGTGAACATCTTATTCTTGATGATTGCTTGGTAGCTGCTCAGGGCTTCTGGGTACATCTCATTGTTTTCATACTGGTTCGCCAGGTTGAGCAGAACCTGACAGCGAGCGCAGCAGCACACGTCAACAGGCATCGATGACATCACGGCCCGAGCGCGGCCGCACTCACAGCGTAGGTCAGATCCACGTTGATTTGTTCTGCGTTTCCAGACAGTTCCCTCTGTCTCACCAGCGCTCTCTCCTTCCTTTCGGCCTCTCTGGCCTTCTCCAGAGCCTGTTGAAACGCAACACACAAAGTTATGCATCGGTCGCTCCACGGAGCGCAAATTCCAAAAGGTGTTTCTTCAACATGGATGAGTCGCTACAATCGATGGTGTTCTTCTCTACGCATCGGTCGATAAAGTACAGTTGCTGTAGTAGCAGGTTGACCGGAGTCTGACCAGTTGTGAGTTGCCGGTGCTTTGCGCCACGCAGCTCTCGGCGATCAAGTCGTTCACGCTCTTTTCCAAGAGCTTGATCTTCTCCTCGGGCCTACGACGAAAACAGTGATAACAACACTTCGGTTATCAGGCTGACCATCGCGGCTAACAGAGTAGCTAGCTAACATTATGTCCACTCACGTGTCGTCCTTCTTTTCTTCAAGTGGGGGAGCGGGGCCTCTGGACTGGCCCAGAGGATCGAAGGTTGGGCCTCAAATGACAAAAAAAGGCACTTCCATGATATGGATCGAATATTATCAAATAACAACAATAGCAATTTGAAAGGCTAATAAGTGTTTTGGACTCACATCGTGTTGGAGAAGAGGAATAACCCGCAGCACTGATTGCAGAGATGGGGCGAGCTGCTCCACTCTGCTGGAGTCAAACAAATGTGTTCCATCGATGAAATAAATTTCATTTGCATCTTCCTCCCTATGGCGCCCTCTGGGGCTCTTTGACGTTTTCGCACCATAGCAAGGCTTACCTGCATAGCTGCTGTCATTGGTCGACTTACTGATGACGGCATAGGAGTGCGACACTGTCAACAAGGCAAGTACAGGTATTCATTTTTTTTATGATCTCACACACACACACACACACACACACACGCACACACACACGCACACACACACGCACACACACACACACGCACACACACACGCACACACACACGCACACACACACGCACCCAAGAACACGGAGTGTACTTACTCCCGAAGAAGAAGTGAAAGGTCGCCCCCCTGTGGTAGAGTCAGCAGGGTGTCCATTAATCTACATGGAAAATGAGAGGAGATCGTTTCAGTATACTTGACAGTACGCAGCTTCAAAATAAGAATCATAATAATGATACAGACTGGTTGTAAATGTGCTCTTCTGCCCTGATTGCTCTTGATTGCTTCTTGGAAGCTGGTGTCATTTTCCAACTCCTTGCAAATGGAAAAAAAAAAACCAACTTGCCCATCAAGTACACTTCTTATGGAGTGATTATTAAATAAAACGACAACAAAAAGAGCTCACCCACCTTGCAGTCAAAAAGTGGATTATAGTCGTTGTAGCCTGAATAGAGGTCATCCTCCTTCACGCTCAAATGCCGATTGTTCATTTGTGTCCCCTTAAGGTGCTTCTCATGAAGCCCGCAATGATGATGTGAGCCATTGAGGTCCACACTAATATAAGAATCAGAAATCCGAGGAGGCGTGGCCATCTTTATGATGTCATTAGTTGGAACTTGACTCACTCTCTTGTGCGGCTCTTGTGATGTCACGTGAGCCTTCGTGATGCACGCAGCCTGCGTAAATATTTGGACTCCTGTGTGTACGCGTGCTCCTCTCATGAATGGTGTGCGTGCGAGTGCGTGTGTGCGTGCACGTGTGCCTCACTCTACTTTTAAATGGAAGATGACCCCTCGCCCCCCCCAAAAAGTATGAGAAGGTCAACACCCGTTTAATCAATCATTGGATGATTTATTTCATAAATTCAAAATAGACCAATCTTTCCAAATGCTCTTATTTAATTGGCTCCTTTCTTAAGGCATACAGAAGATCTGCTTATTATTTCGATAAAGTATCAACTATGCCAGTGTACCCAAATGTCAGTAAGTAGATGATGACTTATCTTCATCCCCATGGGCGTGCCGCTTTGGTCTTGGCCGTCTTCCAAGAGTCCAGAGTCCGGGTGGCGTTCTGGAGCGTCCGGTCCTTGTGCAGCAGGGGGACGCAAGTGCAGCCCACCGCGATGGACACGTACACCTCCGAGTACGAGTGCCGGCCTCCGACACAAGAACCGGACCTCCTGAGGACCACGGAGGGCGCGTAGACAGGAGTGCTGCGATATTGTCGGGTCTCCTGTCGCTGAGGTCCCGTCAGGCAACCGTTACACAGGCAGTATGCCTCCGGGATGTGACGAGGGTATCGGTTCGGGTCGTACGAGATCCTGAGAACAGGCAGACAGCAAACATTATAGGCCAGTACCATTATAGGGCATCTCGATCCAATACAGTCAACAAAACAACAAAATCGTCGATACCCCCACACACAACACATACAAATAAACGTAATATATGACGTGCGTATACAGTAGTATAAAAACAAGTATCGCAGTGGTCACCTGTAGGCCCAGGGGGAGACACTGAGCAGGTTTAAATTGTGATATACATTAACAATACGTCAGGCACGATACATTGATACTCAATCAAATAGATTTTTTTTCTCTCTCTCTCTCTATATATATACACACACACACACACACACTCAAAGAAACTTCAAAAACACAAAATCGCCCATGTGTCAATCCCTATGCTGATTTACAGTTGTCAATAAATATCCCCGTTGCGCACTTTTGTCTCCCTAATGCAGCACAGTGTGATCCTATGTCAATACCTAAATAATCACGATACCACCACACATAACACATACAAATAAACGTAATATATGACGAGCGTATACAGTCGTATAAAAACGAGTATCGCAGTGATCACCTGTAGGCCCAGGGGGAGACACTGAGCAGGTTGACTGGGAGTTTGCTCTTGCTGTCAGCCGACCACGAGCGCGCGGAGGCGGCGCTGGGGCAGCTCAGGTTGACCCTGTCTCGGGGCTCCAGCTGCAGGGCGTGGTGGAAGGCGCTCAGCACGCCGACCGAGAGGCGACCGAACATCTGCTCCAGGATCTCCTCGGGAAGGTCCAGACACGAGCGGGTCCGGGCCACCTTCTTCCTCGCGCGGCCACCCACCGCGGCGGCGGCGCCGCCGGCGAGGAGCAGGAGCGCGGCCGCCGCCGGAATCAGGACGCGGAGCCCGGGGGGCATGACGAGCTTCCTTCCCGGTGTCTCGACTGCTTCGACTCAAGCGGGAACGGGGGGCCTCATCGCACTGTCGGCGGCTAAACTTGGGAGCTTCAGTACTCTGTCCGCGCAGCAGAGCGCTGCTCCTCAAACAAATGTCTCTCGTGGGAGTGAGTGGGAGGCGCACTTGCACTGGGGGCAGCTGTGCGCGGCTCCCTTGGATCAACCGTGTCCATGCGCAAACGACAGTCACTTTTCTTGTTATGGATCATCAAATTTAATGCGATTTTACACACACAAGCCACTTTATTAGGTACATAATGTACTGGGATCCAATACAGCTTGCAAGAAAAAAAATCTGCTTTTACAAAGACGGAATATTAAATTAGAGTGACACAGTATTGGGAGATATTGCTATTCTGTGTTAACGTTGCGACACGAGCTTAATTCATTCTGTGACCACGCCTTAACGTCAAAACTTTCGTATCTTAGGTCTTTTCTCATTGAAATTTGTGGAAATGCCATTAAACGATTTCTGCCTCCGCTCCCCTCCCAAAAAAAGAACAAAAATTAAATGTTTTTAATAAGAACAAGAGCACTCTATATGATTGTCCTACATAAAAAAACATACAGTACTGATGGAATTACAACATCGAGAATTAAACTGTTTTCAAAACATTTTTGTGTCAATTCAATGGAGATTGTGCTGCTCCTGTGTGAATGCCTTGGGCACGCTGTATTCATGATGGAATTTGTACCCAAAATGGCTGCTTAAAAAAACAAACAAAAAACCAACAACAACAAAAATGTCCTATTTAATTTCGGGCACGGGTCCAAGAGATTTTTTTTTTTTGTGCGTCTGGTTATGATCGAGATAACCACTTAACTTTGTGTCAAACTGTGAAACTGGTAAAGCGGATTATTTTTTTCCCAACTTTTTAGAACCCCTTTTTAACCCCATGGTTATAAGAGACTTTTTCGTGCGTCTGATAACGGCAAACATGTCCGCCCAATTGTGTGCCGACTGGTCAAACGGATGTTTTGTGTGCTTTTGTGTGCAAAGCAGTTATTGGGATTCGTTTTTTAAAGTACGTGATAAAGCTACTCGGGCAGCAGCTCATCTCCAAGGTCGTCATCAGCGAAGTCGTCGTCGTCCGGCCGCACCTTGGCCCCGGTCTTGGGTCGCTCCGTCAGGGGCCCCAGCGGGTCCGCGTAAGAGGCGTCTGCACACAAACGGTTCAGCATATTGTGCCTTGCAGAGTGACACATAAATGGTGGCCACTCACCGAGTTCCTTGGGGCTGCTGCTCTCATAAGGGTCGCCGGAAGCAGGAAGTGACATCACCTGAGCGCCCAGACGCTCGCCTTTGTTGCCGTTGCTGCTGCTGCGGCCGCTGTCTGCAAGGCACGCTCGGATTTACTGCCTAAAGTTGCCCTTTGTGAGTAGCTATCGTGTTTGGAGGGCAAGATAATCACATTTTCATAGCCTAACAGTCTTGTCCAAACGTCCAGTATCAATTAGAGACAATATGACCTGTTTCTGGGACAAAGAGTATTTTTGTGCTCAAATAGTGCTATGTTGTAAACTACTGCATTTTCTGCAAGTTTTTTTTTTTTTTTGGTGGCCCAAAATAGCATGCTAGACAGACCTTCTACATGATGTTTAAGTGGTTCTATGGGACATTTTTATAGCTCAACATCGCCGTTTGGTGAGCAAATACAGCACTTTAGCATTTGGGAGATAAAGTCTAACATATTTGTGTGTCAAAGTACATCTTTTTGTGGTCAACTGTTGTCTTTGTCCAATACAAATTGTGCACTCCATTCCAACATCTGAGCCATGAATTGTTTTAAGTTGACTTTTTGTTCATAAAAGTCAATGAAAAATGTGCCGAAAGACTTGGGCAGCCCGTGTGGCAGCCAGGTAACTGTGGTAACATAAAGCTGGGGGGAAAAAAAAAAAAAACACAGGAGATATTCTGCCTTCCCTCAAAGTCTCAAACGTTTGGCCCAAAGCCTCAGAATGAGAACTCCCACTAAGTGGGGGGAGTCACAAAAAGTTATTTCTCAACATGCAGTGTTACACAATTGGCAGTGAAACTCAAGAAGAATGATAAGGAAGCCAGACTCAAATCTGTGCGCTATTAAAGTTATTTTGGTACTTCTTAAACAGGAGGTGAACTTTGTCGAGAGAGCAAAACGGTCACATCACTTTAAAAGGCAAAAGTGAAAATGAATGAAGAGAGCACCCCCCCTCTACTACGAGCGCTGCAAGCTTTACAGAAAAGAGGGAAAACTCTCAGGTACATTCAAGGTTTCTCACATTTGGATTTCTGTCCAAAAAGTCAACAAAAAGCCGCGCTCACGGTCTTGTGAAGGTGTGTTCAGGTGCATGGGAAAAGTGAGTCGTCGAGCACATTCATCCGAGATGAGGCGTCACGGGTTCATGGCAACTATCGTCAGGAGGTTTGACTTGACGATGACTTTGTGAGACGGCTCTCCGGTGTGTGTGTGTGTGTGTGTGTGTGTGTGTATCTTGGGACTCACCAGCACTTCCTGCGCTGCCTTCTCTCCGACCTCTGGCGCTGCCCTCTCGCGTCGACTTCACCCTCTGAGGGAAGAAGAGGCAAATGTGTACGTTACATGCGCCGAATACTAGATTGTCCTTGCCGTTTGCAAAAGCCTGCATGTTGTGTTCCTCGAAGGCGTGATGACGCAATAGCGTCACAGAAAGCCTGATACACTCAGTCAAGTCTTAAATTGTCAAAATTGTGACATTCATTGTACACACGAAGTGGTCATTGACGTCCCGAAATTGTTTTGAGCTGTTTCCAAAAGCGGTTTACGTTCAATGAAGTCTAAATCGTCGCGGAAGTTCAAAAGTTGTCCAGAAAAAGCCAAGTTGGATTCACGGAAGGCCAAGTTGTCTTCGACAGCGCACCGTAACGTTATTTCAGTCGAAAATGTCTTTGATGTGCACACGAAAAACAAAGCTCACGTGTGTGTGTGTGTGTGTGTGTCTTGACAATTTCAAGTCTTCAACAAGCCGCAACTCCCTTCAGTGTTCACGGAACCGTGCGTGCGGCCCCGGAAAAGTAATGCAGCCCAATTGAGTTTGACACCTGAGCTTTCCTCACATTCATCACGCCAGAATGCCTTTGGTGGGAAGAACGAGTAGAATGGAAGAGCGAATAAGTCCGCGCCAACATGATCGTCTTGTCATTCGAGCCATGACGACACTTTTGGAACGACTCCACAGCCGCACTGACAAGCTTCGGCGCTGATGATGGAACGCCGCTTGAGAGAGAGACGGATTGTTGCGGTCGCAGACGTTGGGCCTGTGGGGGAATTTGGGGACTGGTGAGTTGGCTCTCTGGCTCCTCGACAGTTGCTCGTCATGCGGCGCATGCGAGTGAGCTCATTCGAGAGCAGCTGGTTGTGATTTGACAAAGTCCCTCGTACCGCCGTCACTTGCTCCTGGCTCTGCACATGCGCCTCATCTGGTTCTGTTATTCTCTTATGGAGGCCCTCGAAAGGCAGAGAGACTCCTGTCCAGGTCTAGACTCAAAAACCCATGATTAGATTATTTCGGACAAATTCCGACAATCTAACCTGGGCAATGTTTGTGGATTCGTGGTCATTAAGGGTCACGTTGGAGAAAACCAACTGCACGGTAGGCTAATGTCCACAATCGAGTCACCCACTTGTACTATACGGCACATTCACCGGAGACCAAATGAAGGCCATCTTGGATGTTCACAAAATGTATGTTGCGATCATTGCAGGCTTCTGTTAAGTGACCATAAAATCTGGTCAATAAAACACACCCGCGGAATTATCCTCCTCGATATAGCATCTTCCTTTCTTTCTTTTTTAAGTGTTCTTGGCGTGACTTTACGGTAGACTAAAATGACTGAAATGAACACATTCTTGTTACGTTTTGTCTGCTGTCAACGATTGCACTTTGGCAGCGCAAATCACGACCTTTTGGGGACAAGCACCCCGAATTTTGCGGACCGTCGACTGCATGTTGACACGTTTATATGAAAATGGTGTTTTTGTGGTCAAACATTGCAGCTACGTCAGGGAACACCCACTTTCCGAGCCCCGTCTACCACTTTGGTGATCATACGACAATTGTGCGAGTCAGGTGTTCGCCGCCGTGAAGCGTTTGCTCTCCACAGAGGAGGAAAAAAAGAAGACAGATGTTTCTGATCTCCACCGTGCAGCTGCGCTGACCTCTGACCCCGCTTCTTGGCCACCAGACACACATAAGGAGGACACGTGTTTTGAATCAGGAAGGGAGGGGAACAAAGATGTTCGACGGCATTAAGAGCCGCAGTTGTTTCGAATATTTTGCATTCGCGTCGTGAATGCCATTTTGGGTACCTGCTCTCTGAGCTCCTTCATCTTCTCCACCTTCTTCAGCTTGCTGGCGTAGTCCTGGACCTCTTGCAGGCCCATGTCCTGACTCAGCCTCACCAGGAAGCGTAAACCTGAACACACAGACATACATATACTTCTTCTTCTTGACGTTGAATAGAAGTCATGTCGTGTGAAACGTCGGAACGCCGTTGAATTACATTCCACGTTTTCAGGGAACTTGTGGTGGATTTGCTTGTAAGTGTCCAGAGCTTTCTGGTAGTTTCCTGGAAACAATCACAAGAAAATTTGCAACTGATCAAAAAGTGGAATGGAATACACATGACTGAACATATTCTGCAGGCGGGCTGTCAGATGATTCATCAAAAATCAAGGACCAGACTTGCCGGCATCTTTTTCAGAGCATTTTTGTCTACAAATAGAATGCATTCATGTCAAATCCCAGCTGTCTTCGTGCAATAGGCGGGATAAACCCTGAAATGGTTGCCAGCCAATCACAGGGCAGGCGCCATATCACTTCTTTATTTAAAAAAAAAAAAAAAATTAAAATTGCTTCCATAGTCTGCTGTCACACACTTTACACTGAAGAAAAGTTGTGAATCATGATTACAGTCCAAAAATCGGATTTTAAGGAGGAGGAAAGAAAAAGAAAAACGGGGATCAGATTTTATTTTTCAACTGGGCAAAGACATCTCATGAACGCGAACAGAGTCACCACGTACCACTTCTCCTGTAGCAGCTGGCCACCATGAGTTGCCACCTCACCTCACTCGGTCTGAGGAACACAACATCGTTTCGGTCGTGGAAAAGCAACATAGGCGTGCATCCCGCTCGCACTGTTGACTCACTGCACGAGGATGGCCCTGTCAAAGTAGTGAATGGCCTTCTCGTAGAGCTGCGTCTGCACGTAGTAGGCCGCCAGCCACTCGATCACCTCCATGTTGCAGGGGAACAGCCTGAAGGACTGCGAAGGACATCGGCAGCGTTATACTGACAACATCGGCTGCGACGAGACAGTTCCCGAGACGGGATTTGGGGAGTCGGGAATGACTGCGTTCGGAATCATTCGGCATTCCCAGCTCCCGAATCGCTGCAAAGGGATTTTGAGTGCGACTACTTGGGTCCACGACCGGTACAAAAAAAAAATTACTAATAAAAATCAGAGTAAGGTGAGTATGGGATGTTTTACTACTTCAGGACTCGGACGTGGTGCGTGTGTGTGTAGCGTGCATGCGCGCTGGTACCTCGCAGTAGTAATGCAAGGCCTGCGACTTGTCCCCCTCCAGGTCGTGCAAGTCCCCCAGCTTGGCCAGAGCCTTGGGGTCGTTGGGGACCACGCTGATGACCTGCATCAGCCACTCCACCGCCTGGTGGGGATCCTCCAGAAGCTCGTAGCTGACAGAGTTAAAGATAAAAAATAAAAAAAACCCGCACGCACAGAGCAAAGACACACTCATGTAGCCGATTTGTGAGCAAATTCTCACACTAAGATGGGAAACGATGTCAGTGTTTGATTGTAAGAAATGTAACCGTGTGGCCTAATCTTGCCATCGTGTGCTTTTTGTGAATCAATTCTAGCGTTTTAATGGCAACATATTACATTTCTCTTTTAATTTTATTACCATCTTTCCTGGTTAAATATTTAATGTTGGCTCGTGTCTGGGAATTTTCGTACTGGCACTGAAGTCAGACCCGATTAGCTTGTTGCTCATCGCTAACTCAACCCGAGCACGCCTTAGCCGACCTTGCGCTGCGCATTGGCAACAGAAGAGGAAATTGCTGCCACAAAGTCGGAAGGAAACCAACGACGGTCCGACAGATCGTGCCAAAATCAAGAATTGGGTTTCAGGTTCAGTCACGAATTTTTGTGCTCTACAAAAGCATTTTCTGTGATCAAATACAGTGTTTTATAAGTTCAATGGGAAATTAGTTCAACTTTTTCTGTGCAAGATTTTTTTTTGAAAGAGGATACGTGTCGGCCAGCTGATACATGACCTCGGCGCTGTCTCTGAGGATGGCGTGGAGCTTCAGGAAGCAGTCCAGCGCGTCCTCCAGACGATTCAGCTTCTTGTACGTGAGACCTTGGGACGGGCGACAAAAAACAAAACAAAACCAACAATCACATTTTGGTTTCGCTCCATGCAGAGGAGCAAGAGGGCGGAGGTTACCCAGGTTCCTGAGGGCTTCGGTGCAGGAGGAGTCGTTCCTCAGCGCCTCTTTGAAGAACTCGGCAGCCTTGGCGTAGTCCCGCTTGACGAACTCCACGTTGCCTTTGTTGACCAGCGCTCCGGGGTTGTACCGGTCAGCGATCATGGCCAGGTCGGCGTAGCGCTCGGCCTGCTCGTAGTCCTTCTCCTGGAACGCAGTCGACGTGAACATCTCTTTCGATTGCCTCTAAAAACGGCAACGCGTACCAGAAAGAAGAGGGCGGACAAGTTGGTGGACGCGGCGCTTTTCACTCTGCTGTCCTTCTTCTCAAAGGTCTTCAGTATGGCCACTGCCTGTTGAACGCATCGAAACATGTCAGGGCGAGAAAAAAAGGCTACACGAGTTTAGATGGGACTTGTATTTAGTGATGCATCGAGACCAAACAAAAGAGTCCAAATGCAATAAAGGAAGCGGAAGGCAGACATACCTCGGCCTTATGCATGCAGAAGAGCGAGGAGAGGGGCGGGGGAAGGTCGGGGAGCAAAAGACAGGAAGAATGGGGTCAATGAGAATGAGCGGAAAGCTGTTGTGAAGACGAAAACACAAGCCAAACGCTGGGAAAAAAAAAAAGTAGGATTCTTGAGATGCAGCACACAATGAGCCAAGTCTTTGGGGGCGCATGTTTTGCTCTCACCTGGTTGAAGTCTTTCTGCCTGAGGTAGGTGATGGCTTTGTTGATCTCCAAGTCATTGGCCAGCTCCACATACTGAGAGCTCTTCACCATCTCCACACACCTGAGCAGGGACATGAAAGATCACCGGTGGAACTTGACGCAATCGTCTTTATGCAATCAACAACAAAAAAAAAAAAAAACACATTGAAAGAAAAATGACTGAATTATTCTCCTCCCAAAAACTTGACGAAAATTAACTTTTTTATTGAAAATATACATTTTTTAAAACATGATGGTACTTGGAATATTCATTATTGGAGTTGTTAAATGAGGAAAACAATAGGGAACGTAGAGTCATTTTTTATATATAAGACTCCTGATTTAGAAAGACTCATCATTTATTCGACAACAATTTCTGACTATTTTCAAAATTTTCATAAGATTTCAGAAAAGGTAAAAATAAAAGACTATTCTTGTGAGAGTACATTGCAACTTTGAATCATCATTTTGTAATCAGCAAAAAAAAAAAATCAAACGTAAAAAAAGGCACCTATCCCCCGGTAAACACACAAAACACATACCAGTCAAATCCGGCGGCGAAAGAGGACTCGATGGCGGGAGCGATGAGCTTAGCGGCCGTCATCACATACTTCTCGGCACGAGCTTTCCTGTGGGAGAAAATGAACGTGTGATTTAGTCATCCCCACGCGCTGACTAAACGTGCGGCTTTCTTTACAGGTCTCGCTCCATTTGGTGCAGCTTGTCATTCTTGATAGCCTCCATCAACATGTCGGAAATGACGTCATCCTGAAACACATCCCAGAAAATTAACTCTGCCATGTTTCGCCTTTTTTGGGGCACACACGCACACGCACTCACAGAAAGTGTTTCGCTCACGTTAGCGGTGATGTACTTGTCTTCGTGATGCACGTGGAGAGGCACGGCGAGGAGCTTGTGGAAGGCGTTCTTCATGCCGTCGGCGTCGCGGGTGGCGTAGTAGCAGAGGACCAGGTTGTAGCCGGTCCTGACGTTGGGGCTCTTGCTCATGATGTGCTCGAAGGACGCCACGGCGTCCGAGTACTGGCCCAGGAGCACGAAGACGGTGCCGATGTTCTGCATGATCTTGATCCTCATCTCCTTGTATTCGTCCGAGATGTGGTCCAGCGCCATGCGGTACAACTTGATGGCCTTGGCGTAGTTCTTCTGCTTGACCCAGATGTTGGCCATGTTCACCTTCAGACGCCCTGAGGGCAGAACAGCGTCAAAACTTGCATTTCTTTCCAAGACTCAATTGGCTGGCTTTTGAGAGATGCTGTCAAAATAAATTCAAGTGTTTGCAGCTTGTCTATGCGGTCTGTTTCCCAAAAATGTGACTTTGCTCTCTCAAAATTACAAGGAAAAAAAAAGAGAAAGACGCTTCTTGAGAAAATAAAATCTGACCTTTTTCTACAGATGGTACACATTATTTTAGACATTACTATCATTACCCTTTACTGAAAATAAATAAATAAAATTAAAAAAATAAAATAAAATTTGAAAATATTGTACTTATTTCAGGGAAAAAATATTGCAATTCTGGAAAAAATGCTATTTTTGGAAAATTATGGCTTAAAAAATGATTTAGCTCGAGAAAGTTTTCTCTCTGTTAAAGAAAACATACTCAGGAGAAAATATCTTGGAAAAAAAAATATTCTCTGGAAAATTCAACGCTGTGGTTGAAGAAAAAAAAGATTCTTTTTGTAACATAAAGACTCCTTCCCACCCCCCCAAAAAATTCCTCCTATATGTAAATTTCCTCTTGAAAAAAAATCTGACTTTGCTCCCTAAAACATTTCTAACATTGTTGAAAATTAAAATGGATTAAATCCATGTAATTTAAAGACTTTTTTTTCTGGGGAAAATGTTTAATGTTTAAAATAAAATGAAAACAAAAAACACATTTTAATTTTGTAACACTGCGATCTTTTCCTGCTACGGTGTGATGCATACAAAGCCCACCTGCATTGGGGAACATCTTGTTCTTTACGATGAGTTGGTAGCTGCTCAAAGCTTCGGGGTACATCTCATTGTTTTCATACTGGTTAGCGAGATTGAGCAGAACCTGCCCACCATCACAACAACACGTTAGCATCTCATTGCTTACACCAACTTGCCTGATTTGAAAAGACGCGCTTGTCGGAAACTTAAGCTGAAGCACGTAAACATTGGGCAGAAAAGAGGTAGCAACTGCGTAGCATAAGTTCTTAGCATCAAGTAGGTACACTCACAGCGTAGGTGAGATCTATGTTGAGTTGTTCTGCGGTGCCAGACTGCTCCCTCTGTCTCACTAAGAGTCTCTCCTTCCTCTCAGCCTCTTTGGCTTTCTCAAGAGCCTGTAAAACAACAACAAAACCAAGATGCCGTCTGTTTGAATGTGATGTTTATTTTTGTTTTTTTTCAAATGAGAAGTGACTCTGACCAGTTGAGAGTTGCCCGTGCTTTGCGCCATGCAGCTCTCAGTGATCAAATCGTTCACTTTCTTCTCCAAGAGCTTGATCTTCTCCTCGGGCCTAAAATGACGACAAAAAATAATGACGACAACAACAACAAACAAATCACAGGTAGGTTATTTTAAATCTTGTGTGAATTTGGTACAATCACACCCTCAACTCACAAATCCTCTCTCTTTTCCTCCAGTGCAGGCGCAGGGCCTCTAGACTGACCAAGAGGGTCAAAAGATGAGCCTGTGCATGAAAACGGAATTACTGGATTATCTCTTCACTAGAGATACTAACTTGGTGGTCAATATTAGACAATAAAGATTGATTAAACTCACCACGTGCTCTCGACGAGGTGAAACCCGCTGCCCTGACTGCCGACATGGGCCGAGTTGCGCCATCCTGAAAAAAAAAAAGCATAGATTTATTTTTTTTCCCCGTAAATGTTCGATGTATAGCAACATTTTTTTTTTTTTTTGCAAAAGATGTCTGCAAATGACACTGTAACTACCAGTACAACTCCAGTCACAGGTCGACCGATTGAGGAGGTAAGGGCCATCCGAGTCTACGAAACAAAAACGAGATCGTATGATATTGCCAGGTTAATGATGGGAAAAAAAGACTTCAAAGTAGACACTGCATGCATTCTTTCATGGCTAAAAACTGTTCCCGGGCGAGCCCTTTAAAAGCATGATCAAATATTCAAAAGGACGACTTACTCCAAGGGATGAAGGTAAAGGGCGCCCCCCTGCGGCAGTTCCAGGAAATTTAGCCGTCATCTGCACAGTGGAAGACGTGAAAAGTGTTTCAAGAGTACCATAAATCCACATGTACGTCTAGTGGCATGCTCACGTTTAACTTATGTTGAGCTCCAATTTAAATGTGTGAGGTGGGACCTTTTTTTTTGTTATCATGAAAACAATGAACAATGTTAGTTACAGTGCAGTATCTACTCACAGGGGGTCTCCTTCCGTGACTGGTTCTAACCGCTTCTTGGAAGCCCGCATCCTTATCCAGCTCCTTGAATGGGAAGTCATCTTTATTAACCTGAATTTACATTTTAGGGACTTCAATTGTGCAGCCAACTAGCCTACACGCTAGCCAACTCGTAGTAGCGGGCTACGTAACGGCTCGAACCTCGTTGTCAAACGTTGGGTTGTAGTCGTTGTATCCCGAATAAATATCGTCCTCTTCTACCGCCAGATGCACGTTTTCCATGTTGTCTTCCGAAAATTCGCAAGTTTGGAACGCTCGTCGGTGTAGGGCGGATGAAAAATCGACAAAAGCAGTTTGTTGTCAATCCCAGAGTTCCACGCGGCATGGGTTGAGATGATTTTGTTTTCCGACTCATGATTCGTCCTTAGCACGTCAATCGCCGGCGAGCTTCACGCTCATTGGTCGAGACTGGTATCAAGCCGTTGCTATGATACGAGCGGAATTACAAGTTTGTGCCAGCCTTTTGAAGGCTAATAATTGTTTATTTCATTCTTTACCTGATATTATAATGACACATTAAACTAACAATTAAAAATCCATGCGTGGAAAAGAAAAAAATACTCGACAGGAAACTTTTGCAATCACCCTCCCGGGTTTACGTGCGCCATTTAATTTCGTGGGTGTGTTTTGAGCTTTTCGATTTGCCGTAGCAAGCATACAACAGGCGCTATCACGCCTGAGTGGACGTCAAGGCTGTTTTGACGAGACGGCCAGCACATTTTCGAAAATCAAACACAATGAGTGCTGCAAACATGAAGATCATCACCGTTGTCGGCAGGTGACCGAGACTTCATCTTTACGTGTTTGGGAATGGCTTCCGCACGCGATTACACCATGCATGTTCGCATTTTATTTTTTTTAATACTTATTTTTTGAGGTGCGGGGCGCTTAATTGAACACTAATTGTGTGCAAATTGTGTGCGTGTGTGTGCATGATTCGTCCTTAGCACGTCAATCGCCGCCGAGCTTCACGCTCATTGGTCGAGACTCGTCTGAAGCTGTTGCTATGATACAAGCGGAATTACAAGTTTGTGCCAGACTTTTGAAGGCTAATCATTGTTTATTTTATTCTTTACCTGGTATTATAAAAACACATTAATATAGTAATTATACATTCATACGTGGAAAAGAGGAAAATACTCGACAGGAATTTTTGCTATCAACCCACCCGGGTTTACGTGCGCCATTTAATTTCGTGGGTGTGTTTTGAGCTTTTCGATTTGCCGTAGCAAGTATACGACGTCAAGGCTGTTTTGACAAGACGGCCAGCACATTTTCGAAAATCTAACTAAATGAGCGCTGCAAACATGAAGATCATCACTGTCGTCGGCAGGTGACCGAAACTTCATCTTTACGTGTTCGGGAATGGCTTCCGCACGCGATTACACCATGCATGTTCGCATTTTATTTTTTTTATACTTATATATGTTTTTTGTTTTTTTTGAGGTGCGGGGCGCCGAATTCGAACACTAATTGTGTGCAAATTGTGTGCGTGTGTGTTCCAGTGGGCTGATAGGTCGTTCGTGGGCGATGGTGTTCGCCAGCGGAGGCTACAATGTGAAACTCTACGACAACCAACCGGGACTTGCACTCAACGCTCTGAATGAGATAAAGTAATCAAAACACACTTCACGAGATGACTTTGTACATCTCGCAACATTTCAACTCAGTGAGAATTTAAAGGTCTGTTTTTCCGTTCATATCCAAACGGATATTGTACATAACTGATCGACAAAACGTTTTGTTTTGTTTCTGAACTGCACAATGTGATGTAGTCGCACACAGCATTTACATTATATAGTGTAGCACAGCAATCCGATGAATGAGTCGAGACTTTTTTAACTTTTACTTGAGTGCAGAAGTTATATCAGAAGGTGGCAAAAGTACTGATAGTTTGTACTTCGGAGGGAGTACAGGCACTTGTGTAAACATGAAAAGTCAATTTCAAGTGCCAGCAACTGTAAAAATACACCTCATATTTATTTATTCTGATTAGATGAATCATTTATGAGCCCCAGAAATTGGTGGTTGTTATAAGCTGGTACAATACATTGCATTTGTCCCTGTTCATTTCTGTAGAAGACAATGTGGGACAATTCTCTCAATCAAGCCATGAACTTGTCCAAAATTTTAATCAAACCAACCAAAACGTCAACTACAACTGACTTCACCTATCTCTATAGTTGTCCTTTTTTAAGCCGTTGACTGTGTTTGAAAAAAAAAAAATGACAAAGCAAGGAGAAAAATGATGGTTTCTATTTCCAAATATAGGGAGCAAAAGTAAAAAGCCATCAGAAAGATAAATACTCAAGTACAGAGACACAAAAAGCCATGAAAGCCCAGCAACTAAGTTCTTGTACTTTGTGTCATCCGACCACTGCTCACGTTTTTAACTTTTACTTGATTGCAGAAGTATCAGAAGATGGCAAAAGTACTGATAGTTTGTACTTCGGAGGAAGTACAGTTACTTGTGTAAACATGAAAAGTCAATTTCAAGTGCCAGCAACTGTAAAAATACACCTCATATTTATTTATTCTGATTAGATGAATCATTTATGAGCCCCAGAAATTGGTGGTTGTTATAAGCTGGTACAATACATTGCATTTGGCCCTGTTCATTTCTGTAGACGACAATGTGGGACAATTCTCTCAATCAAGCCATGGACTTGTCCAACATTTTAATCAAACCAACCAAAACGTCAACTACAACTGACTTCACCTATCTCTATATTTGTCCTTTTTTAAGCCGTGGACTGTGTTTGAAAAAAAAAAAAAAGACAAAGCAAGGAGGAAAAATGGTGGTATCTGTTTCCAAATATAGGGAGCAAAAGTAAAAAGCCATCAGAAAGATAAATACTCAAGTACAGAGACACAAAAAGCCATGAAAGCCCAGCAACTAAGTTCTTGTACTTTGTGTCATCCGACCACTGCTTCTTCCGAAGTACCGAGTAGAAGTACATTTGCCACCTTTGATTATAGTACCTGCTCTGCTAGTGGGACAAGTTAGTTTACCAAAGGGGACAAAAAACAGGAGTGGAACATTAACAAAACACACATTGGTTAAACTTTACAGTGTGTGCGTGTGTGTGTTTTGCGTGTGTGTGTGTGTGCGTGCGCAGGAAGCAGATGATGGAGCTACAGGAAGCGGGAATGCTGAGAGGGCAGCTGAGCGCCACGCAGCAGTTGGCCTTGCTCAGCAGTCAGCCCTGTTCATTTCTGTAGACGACAATGTGGGACAATTCTCTCAATCAAGCCATGGACTTGTCCAACATTTTAATCAAACCAACCAAAACGTCAACTACAACTGACTTCACCTATCTCTATATTTGTCCTTTTTTAAGCCGTGGACTGTGTTTGAAAAAAAAAAAAAAAGACAAAGCAAGGAGGAAAAATGGTGGTATCTGTTTCCAAATATAGGGAGCAAAAGTAAAAAGCCATCAGAAAGATAAATACTCAAGTACAGAGACACAAAAAGCCATGAAAGCCCAGCAACTAAGTTCTTGTACTTTGTGTCATCCGACCACTGCTTCTTCCGAAGTACCGAGTAGAAGTACATTTGCCACCTTTGATTATAGTACCTGCTCTGCTAGTGGGACAAGTTAGTTTACCAAAGGGGACAAAAAACAGGAGTGGAACATTAACAAAACACACATTGGTTAAACTTTACAGTGTGTGCGTGTGTGTGTTTTGCGTGTGTGTGTGTGTGTGCGTGCGCAGGAAGCAGATGATGGAGCTACAGGAAGCGGGAATGCTGAGAGGGCAGCTGAGCGCCACGCAGCAGTTGGCCTTGCTCAGCAGTCACGAGGACTTGCAGCAGGCTCTGCAGGGGGCCTTTTTTGTGCAGGTATTTGACCTGCTGTGTGTTAGCAGTCCCGTCGTTTACAATTCATTGATCGTGTATTCATCAATTGTCTTTGTAGCCGCGTCATCGCCTTTCAGTCATGAGCTTGACGCCCAGGCAGACGAAAGGTGCAACGGGTCATTGACAACTCATCAGTTAGCAAATTGATCGATCGGTATTTTTGATAATCTAGTCAACCTTTCGAGACCTAGTTTGATTTCATTATGTCCAAATTCTCAGAACAGTAAATATTCTCAGATTTCTGTAATCCTCCATGAAGCAGACTCTTATCTTTGCGTTGAATCACAATAAAACATTTGTAATTATTGAATTAAGAAAACGGAGACTAACATTTTTCGTGTCGCTTCTGACACCTTGCGGTGGCTTGTTTTGTTTTCCCAGGAGTGTGTCTTTGAGAATCTGGAGGTGAAGCAGAAGCTCTTTCGGGATGTGGAGCGTCTGGTGGGCCAAGACGTGATCCTGAGCAGCTCCACTTCCTGCTTGGTGCCCAGCGCGGTCTTTTCGTCGGTTCAAAACCAGAGCCGCTGCCTCGTCTCCCATCCGGTTTGTACCGCCTGTTTGTCATCCAGACCAACAAAATAAAAATTGGCACATTGATATTTTTCTTATCATTTTACCAAGAGGGAGAGCCTGTCCTCTGTTACGCACTGAAAAATCCACCTAGTCGCTGTTTTTGTGTTCAGACCAAACCAATAAAAGTAATACTTTGGCCCCATCTTGTGGCCTTTTGGTGTCAAAAATTAAAACTATGTTGAAATGAGCTGAGGACTTTCACGGCAGGGCTCAGTCATTTGATTCCATGATGTTGGTTTCATTGACACGTCGCTGACCTTATTACTGTATGTGGGTATGCACTTTTGAAACAATGTCAGGCCATTTCTCGCTAACGACTTTGTGCAAATTCCGAGCTCCAGCTCGCGGCCCCCAATTTGAGAACCGCGGCGTTAGCGTTTTCCCCGACACATACCGTTTTCCCTTCATTTTCCAATGTGACAAGGTCAACCCGCCCTATGACGTCAAACTTGTGGAGCTCGTACCTCACCCAGACACGGCGGCGGCCGTTATGGACAACGCCCATATCCTGATGACCGAGGTAAAAACGAAATAAATAAAAAGGTGGAAGATGGTGTTCACGCATATTACGCTCAATATTTGTCGTTTTGGGTTTTTTTGCAATCAGGTGGGTCAGGTGCCCGTCCGCCTGAGGAAAGAGATCGACGGCTTTGCGCTCAACAGAGTGCAGGCTGCCATCATTGCAGAATCTTGGAGGCTGGTACAGGTCAGTCCTGAAAAAAAAAACAAACAAAAAAATTGGTAGATGGATGAATCTTCACAACGATAAATAGTAGCGATGCCGATCCCGGCTTACTTCAAGGTATCGGTTCTCGTGAAGGATACAGAGTTCAGCCACCGATACTTACGGCCACCTAAAAATCTAACATCGAAGAGGTTCTCCTTGACATTAGCTGGT